ACAGTTCGCAATTTACCTCAGTGAAAAGGTTTTTTCACCTGCAGTTCCCATTTGTCCCTGTTTGTTTTCAAGACTAGACTGAATGGATCTTCAAATTGCTTCTGCTTGCACAGATCCAGAGTAACTGCCTAACTCTGAAATGGTTACGGGAGAGCACACAGAACAGCTTTTGCTGTACGATATTAACTGAAATTAATGCTGGATTCAAGCTTTTTCAAGTATGATCATGGAGTTACGAAACTTGTTTCCCAGTTTGGAATCAATAATAATGCCAGTGAAAACTGTCATAAGAATTGCAACTGATGATACAGACAGCTGTGGGAAAAGGGGGGGAAAAAGAGAGAATTTTAGACAATTCTTTTCCAGCCAATAATTTTCTAGGTAAAAATTAAAATAGCTACTCAAAGAAAAAAATGGATGGTGATATTTTGAAACACACTAACTTCTTTTTCTTTCATAATACTTTTCCATTTTCAAATACAGCACAAGGCAAAATTTGAAAAAAAACCAACTTTGAATTATGTGAGAAAACTTAATTTTTTTTTAAGTGTTCCTGGTTTTATCTGCCCATTTTTCAAGACCTCAAGAATTGCTTAGAAGAGATGTATTGGAGAGATTAATGATAAATATGAAAAGAACAGGTTGGTGAAAAATACGTAAGAGAAAAGTGGGAAAACAACTGACGAAAACCACCTTAATAATTAGCTATATTTTAAAAACAAAACAAAAATCCCTCATAACGTTATTTTTTAAAAAGATGCAATACAAGACATCATTCTCAAAAGTTTTCAACAAAACATAAAATTCTGCCCTGGATAACAATTCACAAGGAAATAAATTAATCTCAGTTGCACAAAATAACTCAACCTTACAACCCGTTGACTATAAAATGTGTATCAATTAAGGACAATAAAGAGAAAACAATAAAATAAAAATCTACTACACTGACCTTACAGTGGGTTCGCGACCGACCTAAGATCTATAAATCTGTACAGCTGCTTGCCATCCTCTCCTGCATTTCTGTTCCCATTCATGTGCCACTGCTGGGGCTATTCCAACCATTGCCATCATCCACATCACCCTGATCTGACTGGAAGAACCCTCAGTAGGTGAGGGATGAAGCGGTAGTTTGGTGGGGTTGTTTTTAACAGCTAGTTCTTAGCAAGTTCATTTTCCGACATAGCCATCTGTACGGAGTTTGCATGGCAAGGTTTTTGTAGCGGTGGGACTACTGGGGTGGCTTCTGTGAGAACCTGCTAGAAGTTTCCTCCATGTCCAATCAAGCCAATGCCAGTCAGCTCCAAGATGGACCTGTTACTGGCCAAAGATGAGCCCATTAGTGACAGCAGTAGCATCTCTGCGATAACTTATTTAAGAAGGGGAAAAATACCTGCTGCGCAGCAGCAGCCAGAAGACAGGAGTGAGACTACTCTGCAGACACCAAGGTCAGTGAAGTAGGGGCAGGAGGTGCTCCAGGCATTGGAGCAGAGATTCTCCTGCAGCATGTGATGAAGACCACAGTGAGGCAAGGTGTCCCCCTGCAGCCCATGGAGGTTAACCTTGGAGCAAAGATCCACCTGCAGCCACGCTGGAGCAGGTGGATGCCCAAAGGTGGCTGTGACGCTATGGAAAGCCTGTGCTGGAGCAGGCTCCTAGCAGGATCCATGGACTCGTGGAGAGAGGAGGCCATGCAGGAGCAGGTTTGCTGGCAAGACTTGCGATCCCAAGGAGGACCCATGCTGGAGCAGTTTGTTAAGAATTGCAGCCCATGGGAAGGGCTCACATTGGAGAAGTTCGTGGAAAACTGTCTCCTGTGGGAGGGACTCCATGCTGGAGCAGGAGAAAAGAGGAGTCTTCCCCCTGAGGAAGGAGCAGCAGAGACAATGGGTGATGAACTGACCACAACCTCCATTCTCTGTATCCGTGTGCCACTAAGGGGGAGGAAGCAGAGAGTTTGGGAGTAAAGCCTAGAAAGAAGGGAGCAGTGAAGGAAGATGTTTCAAGTTATGGTTTTTTCTTATTACCCTACTCTGATTTGATTGGTAATTATTTTCCCTGAGCCGAGTCTGTTTTGCCCATGATGGTAACTGGTGAGTGATCTCCCTGTGCTTATCTCGACCCATGCAGCTTTCGGCATATTTTTCCAGCCAAGGAAGCCCACACACTATCACTCATGATGGGTGCAATCATATTTTTGTACATTTCAGTTCTAGCGTAAGGGTATGAGACTATGTGGCAAAGCATCACCCATGGGATGACCCCTTTGGAGCAGCACAGATTAAATCGACTGTCACATTTAACACCTTAGTGTTCTTTTCCCACTTCCTTTACATAAACACTTGTTTTACTTCTGACCAGCATCAGTCCATAAAGCCTCTGATTTCTGAGGCATGGAGACAGATTTATCTGCTCTACTCCTGCATATGAGGAAAAAGGCTGTTTCTGGTTTTTTAAGCAGTATCCGTGTGGCATGTCATACAAACAGCAGGAAGAAGTATGTCACACACTCTCCTTTCAGGTACAATACACACCAAATGAAGAGCAGCAAAACAACCCCCACCAAATCAGGGCTGAAGTATCCAAAAACTCTGCAAACATTTCTCAAGTAGTGCTGACAGATTGGAGATTTCAGCTTACAGCTAATGAAAAAGTGCACAAAAAGCACTAAGCAAAAGGCTGATGCAAATAACAAAATACAGTGAACACATCAACTCAGCATACCCCTCATCCTCTGAATAGCCAACTGTAGTGACCATTTTCATGCATGAACTTGAACTGAACACTCAGGCCACATAAAGTCACTCGTCCAGCGAGCAGGCAAGCAGGTTCTTACCTGTGTCTGCTAACTAAGGGTGCTCTTTTACACTCTATGATGGTTAATTAATGGGGACCAAAGCATGCAATAACAGGCATCTTCAGTCACATCCCTTCAACACAATACAGATTTCATTCCATAAAAACCTCCAGAACTTTATTTCACCAGTAAAATATTTTAACCTTTTGCTCAGAAGTATAAAATCACTCAAATTTGGAGGTGATAGTTTTGTTCCTCTCCAGGTAGATGAGCCCGACTACGGTGCCCATGTGCCCGCACTTAACCACTGGTCACTTCCTGTGGGAGAGGGTGCTTCATCCTGCTCTGTTCTAGTTGGCAATGCACTTTTGGGAAAAAAAAAAACCCACATCTTCACTGCAAAGGCAATAAAACAGATATCTTCCCTTCTCACCATCAGCTCCACTCTGCCACAGCTTCCCACTGCCAGACCACCCGTTTCTTGCCAA